CGTATCATTTTCGTTTTCGAGAAAAAAATATGAAAGTGGAAATGGTTGAGCCCTATGCCGATCGTTTCGTTTTCATCCCTAATTTTAGTTAATCCTTCCACATATAAACAAATGACATAAACCAGGCACACTCAATATAGCCAATGGCAGCCATTTTCATACAGTAATTACAACATTTCCGCAAAATGACATTACAATTAATATTAATGTTTGGACATCAAACAGCATTATACCAAACACAGGCTACATAGCTAAAAATCCAAACTCTGGAGCACTGTACAAACTCATAGCCATCAGCCTGTTGTCCCAAATAGTCCTCGAGTGGTGCATATTCGAAACTGGCTTCAGATGGGAATTTAATACGACGCCATAAAACTAGTTATTAGCAATAGTGTTAGGCGAGTATTCCAGACTGATAAACACTTCCATGCGGCAAATGACATCAGCATCCTACTCCATCAAACGAACTCAAGGACCTGATTATGTGCTCGTAAACCTTAATCCCCTCTAAATAAACACTAGCCCGCAAAAACTGTCAAGAAAAAAAAAAAAATAAAAAAAAATAAAAAAAAAAGGGGAATCATTTTCTTCATCAATACCAATAATACGAAAACACCCATCATTATTAGCTGAAATCCAAAAGGCTCCGCCATCTATTTTCATTGTTCAACTCTTTGACAACATGGATTCCATAATCAATAAACAGCCAAGTAAATATACCTCATTATGGTCATGAAGCAGTATCGGGGTATTCTTCATAGGTGAAAAGCCAAGGGTGGGAATTCCCATCTGCCTCATGAATCGAGCATCGGTAGTTGAAGACAAAATCTCAGGCTTGGCAAGCTTCCCACCAGCTGCCTCAACAGCTTGTTTGAATATGGACCACCACGGGTTAGAATCATTAGTTGCCGTCAACAAAGGGAGTCCATTTTTGTCTCGAAGAGGCCCTTTTTCCGTTAACTTCCACAACAAAAAAGTGAAGGAAAAAATCACACAAAAAGGGGGAAAAAATATTCGAGCCATGCGCCAAATCAAAATTAAAGTATGCATCAACTTCAAAAGATTCTCTACATGACATATATTTGACAGACACCACTATGAATTACAAACGTGCTTCGAAACTGTAGGTTGAGATTACTTCGACTTAGCACATCTAATATCAACTCAAAATACTCTGTTTGTCATCACTCTTAACCCTTACCAAGAACATTCACATTAGAATCAAATGATAGATTCATGATCTTATATCTACATGAAAGAAATTACTCAGCGTACGATGGTTCTAATGTGTCGATATCACTCTCAACATAGGTTCACTAAATATTCACCTCATAAGTCATGTTCCTCCATGTTGGGGCCCATTCCTCAATAATCCTTCTTCTCATGAGCTCGGGCTCGACCGTTGGTGGCAGCCGAACATCAAAGCCAGCCTCCACTTCAGATGGTTGCATATTCATTACAAACCCCTACACCAATCCAACCATTAAACCATTTTAAGTTAGGTTAGGACGTGTTGGCCAAAATACTTCTGCTTTAACCGGTCAATACTTTATTGTCATCTGTTCGCTAATAGAAGCTTAAGGTTTATCGTTGTAAAAGAACATGTTTGGCAGATAAACCTTAGAGGTGACTGAATCTAATGGGTTATCAGAATTTAGAAACATAACTCAAGCATTTGAAAAACACTAGAAGCTACTTTTTTTTTAAATACCTTAAAGCTAAGAATCACTGTTTCCCCAAATTTGTTTCCAAACATTCCATTAGGCAAACACAATATAAATCACAGGAAAAAGCTGCATGAAGTACACAATCAATAAAAACTCACAGAAGCTGATGGAATTCCAGCTTTCAGGAAAACTGGGTTAACCGAGATAACCTCCGAATTCATAGCCAGGCCCGCTTTAACCATATCAAAATTATTCTCCCTAAACTTCATAATAACCTCCACACTCTTCATTAAATTCTCCATGGCACTATTATCGTACATTCTTGATCCATGCCCAGGCATTCCAATCGCCTTGATCACCAAATGCCAAGGCGTGCGATCCGCGAAGAACACCCTAAACTCATCATTCACAGAGGTTTGCCCTTCATCCAACACAAACCCCAATTTCAGTTCCTTAAACTCTCTACTCTCAACAAATTTCGCCATCCCATCAAATCCCCCAATTTCCTCATCAGGCACGTACGAGATATGAACTGTTCTCAGAGGGGTATAATTGGGATCGGAATTTTTCAGCTCTTTAATGGCTTCCAAATACTGCATACCTATGCATTTGTCGTCCTGGGCGCCACGGGCGTAGATCTTGCCGTCGTCGGTTAATTCGGCGGCGAAGGGGTTGTGAAGCCACTTGGACGGCTCGGCGGGGACAGAATCGAGGTGTGAATTGAACAGAACCGCAGGGAGGGTAGGGTTTGATCCGGGCCAAGTGACGAGGAGGAGGGGCTTGTCCGGTGTGGTCAGGTAGAGGATTCGGGTTTGGAGGCAGGGGATGGTGGAGGCGAATTCGGATATGTAGTTGACGGCGGCGGCGTAGTTTGGGGTCGGGTGAGCGGTGTTGATTCGCAGGTAGTTTCGAAATCGGGAAATTGGGTCGGAGTTTTGGTGATCCTGATGTTGAATTGGGGCCGAGGAGAGGGGTTGTGAGAGAGGGATAGAGAAGAGGAGGAGGAGGATGACGGCGGAGACGAGTTTCAGGTGGCGGAGCTCCGACATGGCTGATTGAACTGGAATAGGCTCAGTAGAGTGAGTGAGCTATTGTAAATGAAAGCTAAATTGCACGTAAAAGTAATAATATTCCTATTAAAAACTAAATTTCATAACATTTTTCGTCAAATAAAAATTTATTTATAAAATTATTTATTTACAAAATAGAGAAACGCTCACCTACCCGCACATGTTAATATGTCCACCGCGTAGGTGGCAGCACTAATTGGTGATGTATTTTTTTAAACATATTAATATCACCAATGAGTGCATGCCACCTACGCGGTGGGCATATTAACATGTGCCCACCGTAGGTGGGGAGCATTTCTGTTACAAAATATTGCATATTCTACCGTTGTCTTTTAACTTTTTTTTTTTTATCAAAAATGGTCGTGTGTATCAGTAATAATATCACCACTGCTCTACATTCTAGTAAAATTTTAAAATATTATCGTAAAATTTAGCATTAGCTATGTAATTGATATGTGAATATGAATTTGAATAAAATTTGATTGATGAAACACATATTTCTGACAAATTTGGAGTATAATAATAATAATTAAAAAAAAAAGGATTTAACTAGTATAGTAAAGTAAAGTTATTCAAAACCAGTAAAAAA